GTAGCTTTTGTTTTAGCTTTGCAGAGGTATGATATTTTCCTGTAACCACAGTGAGAAAACAAGAGGAAAGAAATCAAAGAATATCAACCAAATGATATGTTAGGGCAAATTACATGAGTGTAAAAAAAAAATAAATCTTAAGCTCAGTCTCTTACAGAGGTTATGTATGTTTTTTTACAAAGCTAGTGAGTGATAAAATAGATTTCTTCTGTCCAGGTTAGTTTTTTATGCAGTATTAGGAACAAGAGAGTCTGGCTACTCTTTTGTTTTCAAAGCTATAGTGTGAGTTTTGATGAAGCTATTAGGGAGACAAAGCCTCAAACGCAGGGGCTCTTGACTCTGAATTTTTCATTTCCAAAGGCTTTATTTTTTAATCCTTACTAGCTGGACTAATAAAAGGACCTTTTTTCTTCCACAAGCTCCTAAAAGCTACAATATTTTCCTCCTACAGTTCTCTATTAATTTATTCATTTGTGGCTGTAGATAGACTGGGTAAGGCTGATACAACCTGTTATTTTGGAAAAAAATAAAATTAATAAAAACACTGCCTGTGTAGTTTGGCAGAGTACTCTTTGAATAAAAACTCATATGAACATTCTAAGGAGCCCTGACACTTCTAACAAGCTACCTCAAGTCTCATGTAGTCTCTACATATAAAGTAGCAAAGCTTTACAATATTGTTAAGAAGGCTAAATATCAATAAAGGAGGAAAAAAAGGCAATAGTGAAACAATCAGTTAATGTCAAAAGATGAAATTAAAATAAACGTGATAGAGTCTACCATCATAATGTACAGAATCTAGTTAATATGCTAACTAGGGATTTTGAGGGCAACAGTGGCTAATAAAGTATTCTTATAAATAACTTAAAGACTTTAAAATGTCATTAGGCAGCCAGTGTAATGCCTGTAGCCTTTTTTTTTCCTTTTAAGTTAGACCAGTAATTTACGTGAATTGGTTTTAATATTCTGACAGCTTCAAAGCAGAGTGCATGAGCAGCTCTATTGGTAGGGCATTCAGGGAGCTGGAAGGCTCTATTTGGTGGAGGATGACAAGCGAGTGCTGCAGTCCCAGAGTGCTGTTTTGGCACAGCAGGTCTAAATGAACTTCATTTCATGTTCCTCATAAATCCTACTCTCCAGTGAGTTCCTTCCTATCTGTTGATTTATCTTTCTGTTTTCTCACTTCTTTGATGACTTGTGTGCAATGACTTCATTGCCCTTGTCTGAAATCATAGCAAAGGGATGAGGAACTTAATTTGCCTTTTTTTTGTTTTAATTAATGCAAGAATCTAATAAGGATTTTTTTGTTGACAAAATAAGCATTTGATTGAATCTTGAAAGAATACATAGGCTAACTGATAATGTATTTCTCCTTCTGCATTAATTGTGCTAATTAGTTATCACTTCAAACTTCCTGTTCATACAAAGTACAAGAGAGGCTGAGGGGATTTTGAAACAATTTTACAACAAGGCTTTAATGTTTCAGAATAGATTGTACTACATGCAAAATGCTTAGCTTCCAGTTGTGAAAAGCTGATTGTTTAAATAATTCAGAAGTGTAAAGAAATCCTTTTAAAACATGTTTGCTATAATACATGTTATTCCACAAAATAATGTTTAAAATAATTAAAACATTATTTTACTAACCTTTTGCTCCTTCTTGAACTTGTTTTCCTTAGATACTGTGTGTGTATATATTTTTTTTTTAAATACTAATTTTTGTTTTAATAATTGTGTGATGGCACTTGGTATCACTTTTAGGTGACTCAGTTCTTTGGGTTTTACTACCAAAATCTTAATTGATGCTGTATCCAGCCACAACCGGACTGGATATCCAGCAAGCTGAGTAACTAGATAATGAAGCTTTATTTCAGTGTATGCAAAAACTTTGGACTATAAAGATGTTATACTGAAGGGGCTGCATGACATACAACACTCACTAGGTATTGACACTGAAAATATTAGGTGAAGGGAAAGCTCAAACTGCTGTATAATGTACAGTATATAATGTGCTGTTTTAATTATGTTCTTTAAACATTAGCTGTTTAGCAATTTCATTATTTGAATATGAACATTTCCAATGCAGTCTCTTCTAAACTGGTCCTTCATGCATCTGCCTTTCGCTTTCTGTTTATAAAACCTGCATTTTTAGTTTGTAGTGTGGGAAACATAATTTTTGATACAAAATCAGCATGGTTGTATAATTGTAGTTTGATTTTATTTGTAATAATGCCTTCATATCTATTTAGCATTGAAATAGATGTCCCTAAGACTGCCTAAGAATTTCATGCCTTCTAGAAGCATCTTCCCGTAGGGATCCAGAACTCTCATGGCATAAGGCCTTTTTTCTTTTTCTAATATTTTTTTAGTGTTGCACTAATTGTAGCATATACACAAACGCTACAGCATTGCTGTTTATTGAGACTACTGTCGACATCCTAATTTAGAACTGGACCTCTGTGTCGCTAGGTCTTCCCTTTAAAGCAGAAAAATGCCCTCTTCTGCCTTTCAGTGCTAAGTTTTTCCACCTATGTAGGAAAGGCTGTGAAGATGATTAGAGGACTAGACCATCTCTTATGAGGAAAGGCTGAGGGACTTGGGTGGTTTTGGTCTGGAGAAGACAAGACTGAGGGGCATCTCATCAATGCTTATAAATACTTAAAACATGGGTGCCAGGAGGATAGGGCCAGCCTTTTTGTCAGTGGTGCCCAGTGCCAGGACAAGAGGTAATGGGCACAAACTTGAATATAGGAAGTTCTGTCTAAACATGAGGAGGAACTTCTTTCCTTTGAGGGTGGCAGAGCACTGGAGCAGGCTAACCAGAGAGGTTGTGGGGTCTTTGTCTCTGGAGACATTCAAAACCTGCCTGGACACCATCCTGTGCAACCTGCTCTGGCAGGGGGGTTGGACTAGATGATACCCAGTGGTCCCTTCCAACCCCTGTGATTCTGTAATTGTCTACCAGCAAAAGTGTGGCCATATCCCCTGAAATTGCAGCACATCCAAGGGCTTAGTTTTCTCAAGTACTAAAGGATTGCATGAAGTGGCACTACTACCAAAAGTGATAGCCCCACCTGGTTCTTTTGTTCAAATGTGCCTAATGTTAGTTCATGCGAGTTTGTGTGATTGACATGAACTGGAGGAGAAGGATTTACTTTTTAGGGCTTTTTTCCCTTCGAGCTGATTTTAACCAAGATCAGAACCTCCAGTGTGCTTAGTGGGGACAGCAGCTGCAGCATGGACTGGTTTCAGCCACTACTGGTTCAGACTGGTTTCAGCGCCATCCTCATCAGGATTTGCTTTTGCTGTACATTGTAATTCCTGTATCTTTGTTCTGGAGAATTGATCTGCACACACATGTAATGTATCCCCCCAAGTATCAACTTGAATAAGATAGTATTTCTCATGCTGTAGTGTTAAATACAATTTTGCAATGACCAAGTTCACTTTAACACACGACTAAACTTCGGACCTGCCTGAGTAATCCAAGGAAGTCTTGCCTCTTCTTTCCTTTTTAACTTTTTTGTGACACTGTTCACCATCTTTGTTTCCTTGTCTGTGCCTTCTTCCTTTTTCCAAGAAATATTTCATCAGAGTGTAAAAACTCCCCTTCTATTAAAGTGGATTTTTCTCAAAGTGCATTTTGCATTAATGTTGTCACATGATAGGTTTGCAAGATCAGCTTGGAAATGGTTGAATCTTCATAATGAAACCTGAGTGAATGGCATCAAACCCAGTCACTGCACAGTGAAGTTTAGAAACCCTTAAGATGATTTAAGTTTCTTCCTATTTCTTTTGCTTTTCATTTGGGATAACAGATGAATTTGCTTATCTAAAACAGAAGTAAATGCTATTAACTGTTCTCTTCTACTTATTTTCTGTGAAAAGTAAGCGTGGTGGCAAAGGCTGAAGGGCTGAAATAAGTTTATTAGGGCATAAAGCAAGTTCTGTACTGAAAAGCACTCTGATCGTAGTAGAACAAACAACAGCAGCCCTGTCTCTATGTAGCTTGGTATAGACATACTGCATTTCTCTATACCATAACTACTTCACTTTGTCTGGGCCCCAGCCCTCTATGATACAGGCTCTAGGGAACTGACTATGTTAAAATCTGGAACATGTCTTTCAGACTTGCAGCTTGATTTTGGGTGACAACGTCATTTGGTTTGTAATGTGATTATGTATGTTTTCAGATACTGTGCTCCTTTCTTGTTGGTACCAACCAAGCTCCCATCTTGTCTGCTATGACAATACTGTGTGTTAAGTTTCATATTTTGTTTATACTTCACACTGAAAGCACAAACTGAAATCTTGTGGTTTAAGAAAGGCGGCACTTTATTTTGTGGTTGCACAGCAGTATGCATATATTTATTGCTGTTCCCTGTGGGAACAGGCCTAGAAGCCATGTAGGTATTGTGAGTTGCTGAGAATGAAAACAGCCCTTCATGGAAACAGCCTTTCTACCCTGCATCTGATCTTGCTCCTACTTTTTTACTTGACTGTGGGATAGTGCTGCATCCTCCTGTTGGCATGTGTGAGCTCTCAGGTCATGGTGCAGGATTAAGGGCTGCTTTCTTGGATTTAGATTTTCAGTACTGTGTGTAGGTGTTGGTCTGTTAAATTATTCCAGAAGATTTTCTATCAATACTTGCTGTGTTTGTATATATATTTTTTTTTTTCATTAGTAGACAGAGATATTGGTAACTACTTTGTTCTGTTTCTGTAGATTGAAAGTAGCCTTTTTTCTGGCACTTCTGGATGGTGACAAAAATATTTTAGTCTTTATGACTTCTACATTCAATATGCAGTTTAAACCGTTGCTGCTTGTCCTTCTGTCTTTTGGGCTCAGTGAGAATAGTAAACAGTTCCTTAAAATTTTATAGTGATTTTGAAATTGTTATTTGTATCATAATATACTGAATGTAGCATAAACTGTTTAACCATAAGTGTTTTATTGCATATAACGTGTAATATTTACGTGTTGCTTTTGTCTCTTGCAGATCTAGAAATGGCAATTGCATATTGGAATTTAGTTTTGTCAGGAAGGTTTAAATTTCTTGATCTTTGGAATAAATTTTTGTTGGTAAGTACCTCCCATACTCCTTCCTGACTATCTTACTCCACAGTAGTCTGGCTTATAAACTGTGTGCTTATAATAAAGAAAAAGAGAGGATGCCTGAACACTTCCTTCAGACTTTTTCCTTTTTGAAAACTGACATAGAATAGTCTTAAACCAAGCCAAATTAAATCTGCTCTATATTATTTTTCTAATTGAGAAGATTGCAAAAACATGTAGCTTAGATAGAGCATTCTGCTTTCTTGGTCCTGTATCTTCCTACTTAAAAAAGCTTCTGCATGAAAGGAAACCGTGATTGTAGATTGCACCTATCATGTCTTTATTATCAAGACAGCTGTGATTATTGTCAACCATGTATTTTAACATGCTCTCCCTTCTGAGGTTTTAATGCATAAACTCAGTTGTCTTGAAAACATTGGTTCTGACTGCCTTAATCCGTGAGACTTTTCTTTTTAAGTGGAAGTTCTTGTCTGAGTAGTTATTTTATTTTTAGATAATAGTTGTGAATTGATCTTGACAGTTTTCTATTGCCAGTGTAATTCTGTGCACAGTACAGTAAAGGTGCATAAATTAAACTTCAGAAATTGCAAAAGTATTCCTATTGAAGACCCAATTAATTCCTGCATGTTTCTGCATGTTTGCATTTCTATATATTTGCAATAAAAATACCTTACATAATGTTACATAATGTATCATTTATATCGGGGGGGTTCAGTTTCTTTCTATCTGTGGTTCAGGAGAATTAAGAAGTCTTCCTGCATTTGGTCCCATAATCACCAGTGCTTAGTAGGGGAAGTGTGTACTTTTTGCAGTATTTCCCAAATATTTTTTTTCTAAATTTTGCACAATTTATTTACTTTATTCACTTAGTAGTGTACTGGTTTAATGAAGCAAACTTGTGAAAACATTTCACGTTTTAACTGCCTTGATATACTTCACACGTCCAAATTCAGATCTGTAAATGTAACTGAAGAGTCTGAACAGTTTTTCCCACTTGGCTTTATGATCAAGTTTATTGCAAGACAGTTTTGCAGATCTCTACTTCCAGCAATAATCTAGGTGGTCTCATATAAAATATCTTACTTTGTTGTAAATATTTAACCTGAATATTTCCTTGAGAATAAATGTTTAGATTTAAAAAATTCAATCTAAGAAACAAACAAGTTAGGACTCCCTAGGATGGGATTTTTTGTTTGTGTTTTCTTTGTTTTAATGAACTTTTTCCAGAAGGGATGTTTGCTTGTCATATTTTTTTCAGCCAAGATAAGACCTTTGGTTAGAGAGAGAGGTGGTGCTTGGACACACAGGTTAGTGGTGGACTTGGCAGTGCTAGATTAACAGTTGTACTTGATGATCCTAGAGGTCTTTTCTGACCTAAAAGATTCTATGACGTGTTTGCTGTTGTGTTGGACATGAACATCATATTGATCAAGTTCCAGATTTTCAAAATGGAGTTGGTTCTTCTCAATACTTTGGAGTATATGGAGTATTATTCCTTAAAAAAACCTGAACCAATTAAAAAAAAAAAAGAGAGAACAAAACCACCTCACTACACAAAACCATAAACACAAATCCAACCCTTCACCAAGCAAGTCTTGCTTAAAACTTTTTACTGTGAACCAGGACTAGGTATTGAAATTCCCTATTAATCACCTTCTATCTTCAGGCTAATCTAGCAGTGTCAAAGAAGGAAGGGTGAAATTAATGGTCTAATATGATCCTGCAGCTCACAACTGCTTAGTAGTTTTGTTCCTCCACACACTTCTCTTCTTGAGAGTGCTAACTTAAAAAGCTGAGAGAGCTTTGACTGGAACTGAAGTTTCTTGGCATGCTGCTCAAACTGGCCAGAGTGTCAGCTGGTATTTGTGAATGGGGTGATGCTGAAAAAGTATACTTGAAGCCAAGCAAGGAGGTGGTAGTGGACAACAGACAGACTGGGGGAAAAAGGAGATGGGGCATAAGTGGAGCAAATGCAGGTAGTGCATTATGGTGAAGGAGAGAATAGCTGAAGGGACGCTGAGAAGATGGATCCAGTCTGGGAGTGAGAAGACTGTAGGTGCAACTATAACAAACAAGTTGGAAGAGTGTCTAAGTGTAAAAAAAAGGGATAAGCAGAACCTGAAATCAGTGCCATTAAGTAGAAGTATGAAGTGCCTTTGGTTTATTCTTTTCCATAGCAAGTTAGGAACACATACTCTAAAAGCAGAACAGAAGAAATAAAACAACTATCAAAGATGTGTTATGCTTTTTTGTCTTTTAATTGTATTTTGTTTTGTAGCTTTCTTTGGAAGCTCTGAACTTTGTTTAAAAAAAAGAGAGAAAAGAAGAAATAGTTGTAAAATGTGTTTCTGTATATTTCGATATAAAATACTATTGTGGAATTTGAAAATAGTTTGGATTGAACAGTACCATTTTTCCTCCTTTATAGGAACATCATAAAAGATCAATTCCAAAAGATACTTGGAATCTTTTGTTAGACTTTGGAAATATGATTGCAGATGATATGTCCAACTATGATGAAGAAGGTAAGCAATATTGAACATCTTCAAAAATTGGTACAGCAGAGTTCAGGTGTTGCTGTAAATGAACAACTGAACATGCTGCCACCTTCTGTCATAATTTGTTTACCCATAATTTGTTTAGAGGTTTTGCTGCAAATGTGTCTTTGACAACTTGTTGCCAAAGCAGTAATGATAAGGTTAACTATTTTGGTGTCATATAGAAGATACTGTCATATCATGGTACAGCACATGCTATTTGAACTTCTGCTACAAGAGTCTCAGTAAAACTGTATGCATTTTTTTTTTTTTTTGTACAAAAGTTCTGTTATCAGCAAGGAAATACATTGTTCTTCTACTTGCAAGAATGTCTATATGGCCATTTTTTTTACTACCCTAAGGCAATTTACATGCTGTTACTAACCCTGCAAATCCTATTTTGGAATGACTCTGGACATAAGTTATGAAAAAATCTAGTAGGAATGCCATAGGTTTGCTATCAACTAGTGTTTGTAAACTCTGCAGTGTGGATTATGCTTTAAATACTCGTTTTTAGTAAGAAGTATTGCTGCAAGAAAATATTAATATGTTTATCAGTTAAGTGCTTTTTTCACATGTTTATCACATTATGCATTTTAAAGTCAGACTAGGCTAAAGTGAGCTATTGATCCTTTGTGTTTAGAGACTGCACCAATGTATTGCTGATAATGATACATTAATTTTTTAATCACTTGACTTCTCTTCAGGAGCGTGGCCTGTTCTTATAGATGATTTTGTGGAATATGCACGACCAGTAGTCACAGGAGGAAAACATAAAACTTCCTAACCCCAGACTTGTCAATTTGGACTAAAGGTGCACTCTGAACTGCATTAGGTAATGAAGATTTGTCGACTGGTAACTGCACATCGTTGCTGGTTTCAGTGGCTGTGAGGAGTTTCTACAGACAAAACTGAAATTCTTCCTTTCAGCCTAAAGAAAATGGTGGCTGACTTGTGGACACTTAAAGAACAAACTCAGTCCAGGCTGTTTATAGGCTACTGGCTTCAATTGTTGTACTGATTGTATCATATAGGATGTAGATTTTGCATGTTTTTATACTCTGGGGAAGTTTAACTAGAGGCCATTTTATTAAAGTTTTGACAGCACAGCATGCCATTCAGTTCATGATCCAAAGTGAACACCAGCAGTTACATAAATAAAACTGTATTATATTGTACTTATATTAAAAGCAGTATTTGTGGTATATAAATTAAATCCCTAAATAAAACTTATGAGCTATGTTGTATTTTTGTAAGAGTTAGTCGTGTGGACTTGTCCTAATATAGACTTGTAACAAAAAACACTTAAGCTTTTTTTACTTATTGCCAAGATTTCAAATTTATATTTTAAGTCCTAGATGTATATATAGATTGATGACATCCAGTCTTTTCTTCCACTGTGGTCAGCTTCCTCATTATTCTTCTTAAAGTGCTTGGACACGTAGCAGTAGCATTGCTGAGGAAAGACTGCTGCTCTATGCTATGTTGCAACTCCAGCTTTTTTTATTAACCATTTAAAAGTAGACATTAAACAGCCAGAGATGCTTTTATAATTCATCTTTGATTATCATAATTCAGTTGGTCTTCAATTAATGTGTTTATTTATTTCAAAGTAATGAATGGGTGGAATATAACTTTTATTTGTAGCCTGAAACATAAAATAAATTCTAGCTAAATGCACCATAGTTATAAATGCAATTTCTGGCACTTCTCACAGAAAATAAATGTGAATAATTCCAAAGACTTAACTAGTTGGCTTACACTTAGGAAAAATAGTTATGGGTAAGAAGACTGTTACTAATGATAAGAATTCATGCCTCTGGATGTATTGTGCATTCAACAAGAAAGTGTAAATTAATGCAGTATTATTGATCTTCAAGTGGAATTGGACCAATTTTCACCAAATCTGAATTTGCTCAGTCTTTTTTTTTTTTTTTCTCCCCTTTCAGCAGCCATCGATTATAAAGTGTACAGGGGTCAGAATCCTCTTTCCCAACAGTGTCTTCCCAAGGCCAAAGCACAAAAAATGTTACCAGAAACTTTTCAACACATCTTCACGCAGGACTCTTAAATGCTACCTCATGAAAATGAGTGTGTCGTAGCCACTGTAAGAGTTTGTTAAAGAGTTGCTGAAGAGTATGTATAGCTGTGATCAATATAATTTCTGTAATCAGAGCTGAGTAGATGCCAGAATTTTGGGGGGAAATAGTGCATTAAGTTAAATAATTTATATCAGTTTGGGTCACATCAGATGGTTTAGGTACTGCATGACAGCACATTTTTATTTCATAGTTGTGAGGGTACAAAAGCTTACAATATTCTCTGAAACTCTAATATTTAGACTTTCATATGAGCAGTCAGCTTGCATTTACATCAGTGCAGCCTCCAACAGCAAATGTTCGTGCTGTGTACAGAGAGGTTACCTTCATTCTTCCACTCGGGAGAATTTCAGTTGTGCATGATGTTTTAAAAAGCAGAATTAGGACAAGTTTGAACAAAGTAGCAAATTTCCTGTTAATAAGACTGTAGCAGGCAGGTTGTAAGTGCCCCATCAGTGATTCATTAGTGTTAGTCTCTTTTTGCCCTGAGCAGTTTGGGAATGTTCTCTCTTGCATGGCAGCCACTAGGTGTCAGTGCCCCAGCCTTCAGCTGCCTCTCTGTGTAGCGTTAGGAATGGAGATGAAGCAAAATTACTCTTTTTTTTTTTTTTTTTTTCTGACTGCATCTTCTTAGAAGGGTTTTTGTGGCAATAAGGCCAAGTATTCTACAGAAGTCAACAGACTTAAAGACACTTATTATGCTCTTTTTAATGCATTTGCTTTACCTGCTCTTCCTTCCCAAAACAAGCTATATCTCTGCTGTAGGCTTTGGAGAAAAGTTTAACATCTCATAATATGAAGTGTGTTTGTCCAGCCAAAAGCAGTGGAATACTTGTTATTCACACCATTGCCTCTTAAACTGTAATGTATAGCTATAAGTGACCAGAAGTAGTTTGGTATGTGGTGTAACTGAATAGTTTCATAGCAACAGAGCTTGTGAAACATTTGTTCATGCTGACAACTCCTTTAAATCAAAATTCAACCTGATGGGCCTTCTAGCTTTTAAAAGAAAAAGAGCATAAGAAAATGTATGTGGCTTGAGGTTTTTTGCCTATATATGTACACTTACTCTTAAGCCTCATTCCTGTGAGGATCCTTCATGGAAGATAATTTCCAACAGAGGAAGACTGAGCAAAATACTGGCAAGATAGGAGTTGCTCCTTATCAGCCACTTTCCTGGGCATGGTACACTTTTTTTGTTGTTGTTCTTCCTAGTCTTCTACCCATCTGAAGCCACATATGCATTTTACATTCCCATAAATAGTGGCATGGAGTAACTAACACCTTCAGACTTGAACAATTATTTGCTGCTGTCCAGAGTTCCACTTTACAGGGCACTCTGACTTGCTCTCTAGGTACACTGGTACAGTGGCAACACCTAGGCTGGTGAATGTATAATCATAAATGGTACAGATGTCTTCAAGTTGTCCAGTGCATACCGTTCATAGATAACACTGTATGTATTTTTAAACTTGGTGCCAGGTTGTTTGGTTTTACATCCTAGCATATTTGAAACTGAGCCATAGGAATTTGTACTTGCCAATTTTAAATTTAAATGTAATTTATCATGTATTTCATGCCAAGGAGGGCAAACCTGCAGTCATCTGCTCATTCAGTGCACCTGAGAGATTTGCTGCTGACTAAGCTGTATGCGTGTAAATTTTGTGGCGACGGAAAAAGGAATAAATGGACTGTCAACAAAAAGGATTAAAGTCAGTCATGTAAGATGTCTGTATGGTTTTTGTCAGCTTTCTGCTTTGGAAGCCTTGCACAGGCTGGTGGGTTCTTTCCTTCCTGGTTAATTAGATTCTTGCAGTATTATTCCTTTAATCAGAAGAGGGCAAGAATGCAACTAATTTTTGAGCAGTTATAATAGATGTCTGTTTTGCTCATCTGTGCCACATTTAGGCTTTGAAGAAGCTCACTGTGTTTAGCTGCATTGCTGCAGCCACTACATGTACCTTCTAGCAGGCAAACTCTCTGCAATTTGTGTCATTAGTTTGTACTGTCAATGACAGATGTAATTGCAAGGAAGGTCTTCCTTAGTCTTAGGCTCTGAGCTCTAGGAGAAGCAACCACTCAGAAGTGTGTTCTGAAGTGAAGACCTTCAGAAGTATTTATTCAGCTGTCCTTAATTCTCTTTTGAAAGTTTGAATCAGAATAAATAGTTGTCGCCTGTACTCTGTGGCACAGATTGCCTAGAGATGTGGTGGAGGCCCCATCCCTGGAGACCTGGTCTCCAGGAGGCCTGATGGGGCTCTGAGCAATCTGTTCTAGTATGAGATGTCCCTGTTTTCTGTAGGGAGGTTGGACTAGATGACCTTTAGAAGTCCCTTCCAACTCAAGACATTCTATGATTCTCTCCCAGCTGACGTCCCCCTCCAGCCTCTCTGATACTGCTCTTAGCCAGACTGGTGCTTCGAGTGGTTCCCACCCTTAGTCAGCACAAGGGCACCCAAGTATCCCAGTGGGTGAGCAGGTACAGCAGTGGAACTACTTGTCCCTGTCCTGAAAGCAGATTGTTTCAGCAGCCACTGGCTGCTTTGGTATGACACGAATCTCTCTGTCTTCTGTAACAGCAAAGTTGCTGATGCTGGTACTTGAACCATCGCAAGCTCTTTTCTTTCAAGTGTCAGCAGCAATAGTTTCCTACAGCTGATGCCAACCAGCGTCTGGCCAACCACAAGGCTCAGCCTTTCTGAAAGGGAGCAAGTGAAATGTTTTACCACCATGAGAACTTTTTTAAAGAAAATATTCAGTGAAACGTTTTCTGAACTTTGCACTGTATATAGTCTGGTGGGTAGAATTAGGTCAGGATGGCACACCTCTAAAATGGGATTTTTTGTTACAAATTGTTGTTGGAGGAGTCTGCATCTGCAACTAACTGCAGAAAATTCCACACTTCAGACAAGTGAGTGCAGTGTTCACACCTCTTAATGAGAGAGGCCTGGGGAAGTTTAGGAGTGTTCAAATTTTAATTGAGTATAATTATTAGGATACCTCCTCTTGTTGTTTGATGAGCTCCCGTATGTTTTTTCTTGTGCCTCTCTTACAAGCAGTGAAACACTCTACACTATGCTGTTTGTTTTTAGGCAAACTGTAGGCTTTGGGTCATGACAGGCTTTGTGTCAAGAAGGTGAAGAAGAACAAAGTCCATGTTGCAGCATTAAAGGAATGTTTTCCTTTGAAGGCAGAGGCATGAAGCTGTATGAAAATTATTTATCTCTACAGTTAAAGAATTGAGTAAAAACAGTCTGTTTTTTTCCTGGATCTCAATTAATATGTTCTCAAGTTAGTATCATTCCTAAAGAAATTATCCTGTTGCCAAAGTGAAACCCTCCACTTCAGCAATGGCAGAGATGCATCTCTGACACGTCTGGCATGGTTTAGTGAATAGGCTCAAGTTAACCAGGAGCTGAAGAGGAAAATCAAATTGTTGAGATGATCCATCTGGTATCAGCCTTACTTTTCCAGGATATGGCTCTGCATCCTTGGGATGGATGAACTTGGAATCAAGAACATTTCTCTACTGAGTGTCTTGGAATGGCAGAAGCGTCACTCGCTCATGGGTGAAGTGTTTAGGTGTAGTCTTCCTCTTTTATTTAAAATGCCCAAGGCCTTGTGGTGACAGAGCAGTCTCAGCCAATGCTCCCTCTGCCAGTTCATTTGCTCATAAAAGACAAGGGTGCCTGTATAGCCCTCTCGTGGGTGGTGTAGAGCTTTGGTTCAGGTGGAGGAGGCAGGTGGAGCCACCTTTGCTGAAGTCAGGCTTTTGTGTTCCACGTGGGGTTTAAAATGCTGTTGAGCCGAAACAACAGCGTGTTGCCACCATCACAAAGTCTTCTCTCTGTCCTGCCTTCCCATTCCTTCTTTTCCAGATTCTCCTCATCTGAAAGCAGACTTACATATACTAATGAGAGGACACCAAAGCTGCATTTTTATCTGATTTAACATTTACTAAACATTTTTTTGCCAGCTGTATTTGTTGTTTGGTTGGGTTCTTTTCCCCCTATTGTAAATATATATGGTGTTCATGTGCAATTAACAAATCAAAGTTAAATTCTTTGTTGCATGTTCAGTTTTGCAGAGCTGAAAAATACAAAATCTGACATTTTCTCCAGGTTTTCATTACAG